TGGCAATTTGTGCAATTTTGTGCTGAAAGTCCTAAAAAGAAAAGGCGACGACGTATTTGGAAAAAAAGATATGGCTGCTGCTGCGTTTACGTCTGAGAGGAAGAATAAAAAGAAGAATCCTTGCTTGTGCATGCGCCCTGCGTGATTTGCCCACGAAGGTCGAGAGAAACTCTCCCGACCTCACGATTCCTGATTGGGAGGTGGGTGTGAGAGGCTGATTGCTGCCGTAACCCCCTGTACACTACACGACTTACGACGCATGATCAGGCTGAAAGTCGGCCTGATTGAAAGATTCTCGCATGACTGGAAAATCGCCCCGTAAATCGCACAGTGTACGCCCGGCTTAATTAAACCATTTGATTCAGGTGTGTTGGATCAAGGATGGATCTAAAAGCTGTAGGATCCCGGCCCCCAGGAACTTGAATTGCCCACTCCTGTGTTAGGTCAGCCCATTCTATGGTGCTAAACTCTCTGGAAAAAGTTGGTTTTCTTTGCTTCAGCTTTGACCGAACAAGCCCCACACCATGATACCGCCACCTCTATGCGCTCCTGTGGGGTTTCCCAAATATGAAACGTTTAGAAGCCAATATTTTCCAGCTAGATTTATCAGATCAGAGAACGTTGTTTTTCAGTCTTTTCACACCTGTAGTTTAACTTCATTTTGATTCAGCTGATGAACTTTGGACTTTCTCTGGTGCTTCAATGTTTTTCTGAGAGGTTGGTCCAATTCTTCGTACGCGTAAGCACTCCTGATTGATGAAGCTTTTTCTAATCATAACGATGGTGAGAGGACGTCTTCCCCATGTGGTGCTTTATGCAAAAAACCTGAGGGCCTTTGATCTGTCCAACCAGAGATAGACGGACCTAAAAACCCATAGAGGCTGATCCGAAGCTGACTGATAGTTTTTCTGCTCTAAGATCAAACTTCACATCTCTGTCGTTTCGTAAGAGGATTCTGAAGCAAAGCATCATTTAATCCGGTTCAGCCTGAGAATTCTAACGTGTTTGATTCGATATATAGACGTCCTTCTTACTGGGATGAAAACAGATGGAAAAGAAAAGATGAAAAAATTCCTGTGACATGAGACAGAAACGTCTCATCCCTGACTAGCACCAACCGCGCTCGCTCCGCTGGTTCCCCCCCTTTGGTCCGGACTTTTTGGGCAGGTGTGAATGAATGTTAAAAGAGAGTTGAATCCTGGTCCGAACCAAACAGCCAGAAACCAAGAAGCCGTTTTTGGACTCCTAGTGGGATTCACAACCCTGCAGGCCTTTATGGACCCTCTGAGGCTCATTAGGCGGGCCTGGCGTGGTAGTGAGTCAGACCTGGTCCAGGCAGCAGTGCAGCCACCTTGCTCTTGGTCAGAGCAGCGTCTGTTTTTTTTCTCGCTGCTCTGAACTTTGAGGAAAGTCTTCAGTTCTGGTTCAGTTCTGGTCGCGCTGCTGTGAAGTCGGTCCGTTTCGGAGGATTCTGTTTGACGGTTGGGTTTTTCTCGTCGTCTTCTGGACATTCAGCTCTGAACACCTGGTGTTTAGTTGTATTTCTGTAACGCCAGTGGCGACCATGGCAACGCCCCGCCGGCACCGTGTGGCTCTGGTTAATCTGGGTCGCTATAGAGCTGAGCGGAAGCGAGAAGGTTGGCACGTCAGCCTCCTCTTCCTCCGCTGGAGGCGTCTCTGCAGATCGCTGACTCAACATGAGGCTTTTTGACTCATCTTCATCAACTCTGGGTTCAGTAAACTCTTCAGCTTGGTTTTCATCCTTATCACCTTCCTCTATCATCATCTTCATCGTCGTCATTTAATCCGCCTGTGACTAGTGGTGGGGAAAAAAATAATTTTGGCAATATGTCTTAACTTTTGGCTGACTGATATACCGTAAAATCGATATTGTGCTCTCTGACATGGGAGCTGGCACAGAGCTCGTCTGCCTGGCTGTGTGTTTCCTGGAGGGGCGCCTTTTATAGTTGCCTTTTATATCTCTGCTTCTGTCTCCTTGCCTTGAGATGACATGTGTTGTGAATTGGCGCTATATAAATAAACTGAATTCAGCTTTATTTAGTTTTCATCTGCATTTTGATCTACCAGCTCATAATTGTTGCTCTGTATTTTGTTTGATCCTCAGAATGTTAAAGAGTTTTTGCTTCTTTTTGTTTAGTTCCTCCTTTTTTTGCAGCTTTTCTACAAACTGGAGCTATTTTTATTTTCTTTTTTTCACAAACCAAGATGTCTGCTGCGAGGACGCCGTGTGAAACTTTCTTTGCTCTGCAGGAATGGAACGTGACCCGGCTGACGTTCGAATACGACCCAGAGCCTTACGGGAAGGAGAGGGATGCCGCCATCATCAAGATGGCCCAGGAGTTTGGAGTGGAGGCCGTCGTCAGAAACTCTCACACCCTCTACAACCTGGACAGGTCTGTGGATTCAGATTTAAAGGTCCGACATTTTAAAGGAATAGTACACCCAAAACATGATTAGCCTTCATTTTCTACTCACCCCCATG